GGAAGGGAGAGAGGAAAAAAAAAAATGGAAAAATAAAAGATGAAAGGATATATGAGGATAGAGAGTAACACTCAAGGCCGCTGAGGGAGAAATAGATTTTGGGCAAGCAATGAGGAATAAGTGCAAGTCATCAAGCGTGGCCCTGCTTGGCTTTTCTTTTTTTCTTTTTTTTTTTTTGTCTAATAGTTTGGATGTGGTGATATAAAATGTTGATGTGAGCTGGAGAGGGCATCAGCGTGAGTTCCAAACAGAGTCATTTGATTTAATGAGGTTTGGCAGTAGATCCACTGCCTCTGTCAAAGCCCAATCATGTGAAATCTAGATGACTCAAAGCCATCAAAGGGACCTCTGAGGTCTTTCAGTTTTTATTTGTTGTAGTGTATCAGTAGATCGGCTTATTTTTACTTTTTTTTTTTTTTTTTTTTTTTTTTAACCGTCATATTTGAGGGAAAAGGACAGGTGGGAAGTTGAGTCTTTATTTCACCAAATGCAGTGCTAGTTATGATATATGGCCAGCCAAGTCCAGCGGCAAAATGGGGGTGGGGGGGGGAGAGAAAGTTCTGAATTGCACGAGGCAAGCTGTTACTGCTCAATAACACAGGCCTGTAATCGACTCACATTTCAAACACACACACACACACACACATGCACTCAGACAGCCCTTGGTTGGGCTGGTTTTTACGAGGAAGCACACCGCACAAGGTGATCAGCATATGTTTTGTTGACATAAATTTAAAATTTATTGCCGTTGTCAAAAGTGACTGTTGGACAAAGTCGATTATTAACTGAGTAAATGGCCTGAGAGAGTTTTATGTGAACTTCCTTAATGGCTACAGTCAGTCTGTTTCAAATCACCCTCCCTCCCCTCCATCCTCTCCCTCCCTAAGCTCCCACCCACTACACACACACACACACACTCACACCTCTCATCATCTATTTTAGAAGCACAACATGAAAGCAGGCAGTTACAATGGGATTTGGGAGTGTGTGTGTGTGTTTAGTGTGTGTGTGTGTGTGTGTGTGTGTGTGGAGAGGTCTATCCGAGCTAAATCACTGAGCTGAGACAATATTTTAGTATCCTTTTACATGTCATTAAACATTGTTGAAGCTGAATAAAAGTATATTATTAGCTCTGCTTAGGCACACAAAGCATTTCAAGGCATATAAAACATACCTGAGATGCCTACTGTTGTCTCATTTTCATACTTACTCTGCCGTAGGTGTGAGTTCACCTTTGTCTGTCTACAGTTAATTGTGGTTCTTACACAGTGACGTCACTTACTCTCTGTCACGGCACCAGAGAATCATGTCCGTAAGGCGACCTTGTTTTCCTATCTAGTGTCCCCCTGTTGGGTGGCTCAGGGTGCAGGTTAAACCTACCTGATAGTATTCAAAATCAAAATATGTTTGTGATTATCTCTTTATTTATAAAACCAGAAGACTGACAACTCAAGTTGGACCGATTGTCCCCAGGAGATCAACTGTGATCTGCCTCAAATGTGACTCATAAAGGTACGGTTTATAATTGTGGTTAGTCTTGGTTGGTGCCGACTAGTTTAGCGGGTATAAGGTTTTTTTAAACACGGGTAAACTGCAAGGAGTGACGTCATCACATGCACTTACAGCGCGCGCACACAGTGGAGAGATAGTTAGCTGCTAGCCGCCGTGCAAACTGGTAAAACAGATCTGCCAATTGCGACGGAAATTGTGTGTTTTTGAAACTTATTTCAGGGCTGCAGCTTCACTCTTTCATCTGGAAGCGCATTGTAGCCGCGGTGTTTCTGCTGTAACAGCACTGTGCTCGACAGGTGACAGGTGTGTCTACAGTGTCTGATGTTAGCGGTTCTTAGCTAACCAGTGGAAAAGGGACTTTAGGGCAGAGAACGAGCTCTGTTAGCAGCACTCACAATAGCTTTTGTCAACGTTATACTTTATCTGAACTTGGTTCATTATTCATCACAAGTCTGTTTGCCAGATAGAAGTCACTGCTTGGTGAAGCCAGTCTGGCTACCAGGGTTGTTCCCCTTCGTGAGGCATCGTTACACCACTGCAGTACAATTTGTACATGAGCTACTGTTGCTAACGTCCACTTCTGATATTTTCTTTAGTTACTTCATATCCTGTGGACTAAATATAGTGAAATGCCAAAAGAGAGGTCACCATTAGTGTTTCCAACAGGGCCTCTAAAAGTTAAACCTTTCCTCTAACAGACTAAATTACTGGACCAGGTGCTGTTAACATTCTGTAGAACACCATGTAATGTGCTGTTTCGCTGGGTAGTGCTCGCCATTGCAGTTAAATTTAACATGCTCTCAGCTGAGGACACACACACACACACACACACACACACACGTACGCCACACTTTGCTCATCAACACTACATTTGTGGTGAAAATACATGGCATTGCTTCCACTTCAAGTGGCCTTAATAAGTCCATCCATACCTTATCAGCGCTCTGTCTGGGGGGCACAATGGTCAGATTGAGGAGGGACACAAAAGGCCTTTGAAAGGCTTTGTGCTCCCTGTGTGTTGTGTTGTGGTTTACCGCTTGTGCGTGTGTTTTCCCCTTATCAGAGAGAAAGTGTGCGAGTACATCACCTATGATCCTTAAAGGGAAAAAAAAAAATCCTCTTCCATCCCTTTTGTTCATTTTGTTGTTTGTTGATGTATTTGTCTCTTTCATGTGGAATAACCTGTCAGAGGCAAAATTACATTAAGATATTTTTCTTATCTACCGGAAAACATCAGCGGTAAAGGTCGGACTTCGGCCCCTCACAGGTAAAACATGAGGGCATCAGTCCAGTGCTGCTATTTTGCACTGAGTACAGTGCAGAGGTAGCTGGCAGGTGCCTTAATAGCCCAGAATGCCATGCATCTGTATTACACATTGTAGTCTTGTGCAATTGCTATTGATCCGTCCTACTATATGTGTAACCAACAGCAGCATGATTGCATTTTGATGCTGTGTTATGCATTGTACGCCTGCTTTTTATTGAACACAACAAATTCAGATTTCTCTGCCGGTTGTAGAAAGGCATTCTGGGGTAAATCGGGAAGTGGAAGTATTTCATACAAAGTACATTAGACTGTGATGTAACTCCTGCTCTGTATCATCACAGATTGATATCTGACAGTGTGAGAGTCTGGTTTCTTTTCCCAGCTGCGTCATTCATGTCTCTCTGTATAACTTTCTCTCCCTTTTTGGCTTTTCAAGTGTCCTTTTGGGGGCATTTGGCATTTATAGGACCTTTTAATTACACTCTCCACTTGCCAAAGGGCCGTCATTCTGGCTTTGGTTTTCAAGGTCTCTCCGCAGACTCTAACCACCACAATGGCTATCATGACTTCTTCATCCCTGCTACATTTTCTTCTTCCATTTCAGATTTTTACTACTCAGGTTTCAAGGATGTTTTCGCAGCAATTGTCAAACGAAGTCACACGAACCGTTGCCGTAAGGAAACGCTGCAATCTCACTCCGTCTGTCTCGGTCTCATCCTCGCTCTGTCTCTCTCGCTACCCCTACTCGAGGCACAAAAGAGAGCTGTAAATCAATTTGCATTCGACATCTGACATCAATCAGTCATGTTTTGGGAGAGTGGCACCACCTCCTCCTCTGCGGCTTTGTTGAGAGACGCTAAGATGGATGGCTGTCATCTCGCCCAAGTTGAGCGGATCTCTTATCAAGGGCATTGTTTCCCCAAGAATGCACTCGGCTGATCACTCTGCGCCACCTGACTCGTCGACGGAGACTATGAAATCTGTCTGTTTGACGTTGTCTTTGTCTTTGTCTGCCAGAAACATACACTTAGTATAGAACCAGGCCCTTTTCTACGCACACGTGGGGTATATTTCAATGTATTGAACATTACTTAAAGCGCATCATTTGCTTATGGAATTAAGGGTCTTAATTTCTTAATCGAGCATCAACTAGATGACAGTTCTGGGACCTCGCTCTGTGTTTGGTTGATTATTGATTGTTTCAAATCTGAAACGGGACCGACTTTAAAAACAATCATTACAATCATGGGTTTGTGTGTGTGTGTGTGTGTGTGTGTGTGTGTGTCTGTGTGTGTGTGTGTGTGTGTGTGTGTGTGTGCGCGCTTGCCTTTGTGTACCTCTCTCTACCTCTCTCAAGGCGAGGTATTTGAAGTTCTCGGGAGGCTTAAGGCACTGTGGCAGTTGTTTGGCAATTCGTGTCACCTTAATTGCTTCAGAGCACTTTCAGATATCTCTCAAGAATAATATGCTTTGTACGGAGCCGTGGGGTCTTTGAGGATTTTGTAACGGAGAGAGTCGTGAGGATGGACTTTATGTTGTCAGATGTAATTTAGCTACCTAACCTTCAAGGCCTTTTACCACATAATCAAATATTGACCCTTAGTCTTGTCTGAACTTGTGCACTTAAACTATGTTACATCCTAATGACCGCCCATTCGTAAAAAAGAAATAAATAAAAAGGGAGAATTCATTGCAGATCTGATTTTTGCTTCGAGCCACACATCACCATGTGGTTTAGAAAGCAGAAAGTCAAAATGGGGACAGTGAATGGTTCATACGCTAAACGGCTTTGCCTGAATAAATCATTCTATTTCTCTTTATAGCATCTTATCCATTTGCAGCACTTGAGATGTAGGAAGTTGATAATGCCTCTGCTTGAATAGCATCTTGTGATTTACAGCACCAAGTCATGGTCTGGTGCTCCCTGCAGAAGAGTATGTGTGGTAGTTGGACGGCTTCTTACACCGGTGGTTATTGTTATGTGCTGATGTTATGATTGATGGAGTGTGACATTTTTTTTCCCCCCTCCAATAGCTAAAGGCCGAACCTTTTCGCTGTGCTCGAAGTCATCAGTTATGCAGCTGTTAAAACGCCACTCAGTTAGAGACACAAACATCTATTTCAGCGATGTGCGCTCACATTAGACTCGGCCTGCTCAAAACTGACTGTCTCACCGACAGAGTCCAAACAATGAAGTGTTTGTTTTGCTCTTTGTCAACAGGAAGATGCACAGTGGAATGAAGACCTACGGCTGTGAGCTGTGTGGGAAGAGCTTCCTGGACAGCCTCCGTCTACGGATGCATTTGCTGTCTCATTCAGGTAAAGAAATCAAACTAACCCCAAATCACAAATCCGCAACCCCCGTTCTGTAATCACTGTTGAGAATGCAATAGCTTCTGTTATCACTGCTGGGGTTCACTCTTGATTATAAGGAATGTGTGATGGGAGTCTGAATGATAGACCATTCATTACTGCCTTTCTGTACAGTTGCATTGAAGCATTATACAGTAAAGTGCGTCTCTGAGGAATTTAAGGAGGAAAGATATGAATCCTATTGAGAAATAGTGGTAATTTGTGATCTTTTCAACCTCTGTTGAAATCTCTGGAGAAACGAGTGACAGTCAGAGGTCGGCAAGCAGCTCCTTAAAGGGACGTAACAATAGCTCTGCATGTACAACGCTTTCATTACAAATCATGCATGGCGTATCTAACATTTCCTCATCAGTCTGTATTTACAACTACGTTGCCAGAATGTAGTTGGAAATTTGCCAAAAGTAAAAGCAGATTTGATGTAGCCAGGATTTCAGAAGCACTGAGGTCAACTTTATTTATTTGTTCACTTACATTTTCTGTGAACTTTATCTTCTACGTTTTTATCTCCTTCCCAAGGATATGACCTTGTTTCTCCAGCCCTGAACTTAGAGAGTTTGATTTTGATGGTTAAATCACATGAATGGACAACAAAAAAACAAGGCTTTCAGTGTGGTCCGTAATGTGTAAAGTCTACATGGTTGCAGGTAAATGGGCTAAACATGCATGGTCCTTTTTTAATAGGAGAGTGAATCTCTTTTTCTTGCTGATTTTTATCCAGAACTCTTATAGTCTTAAGCAAAGCTTAACTGCAGCTTTCACTGCTGCACCTCATAAATGTGTTTAACATCCATTCACAGACTCAGAGAGACTGATTTACTACAGTATAAATACACAGTACAGTATATCAGTATTGAAAACACATTTTTTTACTACATAGAGAACATTTACAATAGACATCAGCCCTGAATTTGCTCGCAGCCTGAGAACTGAATAAAGAGATGACTTGCCTTACACATGCTTTATCTCACTATAAATACACTAGTTTGAATATGTGAATGTGGAGCATAACCCAGTTTCCGTGATTTGTGGATTAAATAACTGTACAGCCCAGTAAAGCTGAGCAGCTCTGGGAAACTTAACCCGAGAGGTGCCTGCACATCATCATCCCGTCATTCTACACCTCTGTGACATTAGAGGTCTGAAAGGCAGTACAGAACACTGGACACATTGATTGGTTTAGTCTGACACTATTACACCCACCCCCAAAACATATACGCACATACATACACACACACACACACACACACACACACGGCAGCAGTCCCTGTGCTGTGAGCCTACTTAGCACAGCACTGCTTTAATGGCATGGACCGCCTTTTATAGGCAGCAAAGAGCTCCTCAGTCCTAAGGCCCTGAGTGCAGATGGTTTATTGAGACACTGTAAAAGCCATGGGACCTCTGAGGGAACCCCTTCTGCACACACACACACACACACACACACACACACACACACACAGACAGAATCCCAAATCCATGTGTTGACGTTGGCTCAGAGTTTGAGCCCTCTATTTGGTACCCTGTATGTTCTCCAGTGAGACACATTAAGTGGCCTGAATTGTCTGCTTGGCATTATCATTGTCAGCAGTGAGGATACAACCACCACCACCCCCCCTCCGACACACACACACACACACCTCTACCCCACTCCCCCAGCCAACTACTGTCAGTAGGCAGAAAATGATAATTGCCGGGATCATTTGTTTGTTTGCATCTCACCAAATTCTAAACAATGACTGAGATGGATGCTGACACTCCTGCTATGTTGTGACAAAGATGAATGACAAACTCACGCTGTGCCAGTGAATTGGCTCAGCACACAACTCAGCGTGTCAAAAACAAAAGTTGCTCCAAGGAAATATTCACTGTTTATTTAAAAAAATATTAAACCCCATCTTTTTTCAACCGCCACCTGCTCACACACACCCCCCCCCCCCACCACCCACCCCCTCAACCCCCCCCCACTCACACGTCAAAGTGGAAAGGAGAGAGCGTTCTGTCGCAGGAACAAATGGGATAGCGACTGTTATGGAGATTTTTCTTGTGTATTATGTGCTTCATAACGTGGAGCCCTACAGCTTCGGTCCTGTAGCTCTGGCTCCTGCGTTCGTGACGCGTCGCGCTGTAACAGCTCAGTGGCAAAAGTGAGCATGAAGTCAGGAGTTATGACAAAGTGGAAGCTGAGGGTGAGTCAAGTTAATCTTGTGCTCAGACACTTGTTGCCTGTTCCTGACGTGTGTGTGTGTGTGTGTGTGTGTGTGTGTGTGCGTGTGTGTGCGCCGTTCTCTGCATGCTCCAGTGGAGATTAGCCTTAAAGAGCCACGCTCTGGCTGCTGACAAGAAAGCATGAACTTATACTTCATGTTGTCATTGTATTAGTCACGGTAGTTATAATAGTAACAGTAACCGCTGGAGGCCGGTTCCTACTGGTGCAGGCATACAGGCACATTATATCTCTATGTCCTGTTACTTATTCCCCAGTGCTGCCCCTTTTCTAATGAATGCAGGTGTTGTAGTTATTGTGAGTTTTGGGCTGAAGTAGCAATTAACAAACATTTAAGTCAGGCAGTTGCTCATTAACTGCTGAAGATGATGAAAAAGGCTCATTATCAGGATAAAAAATGAGGCTTGTAGTAGAGGAAGTGTCCTTCTTTCTTCCTCTTATCTGATATTTAATACACGTTTATATATTACCTATAATTATCTATACATAAAATGAATGATCTATAATTATCTAATGGTATAATGTGTATGTGTTATCAAATCATCCCTGTGTAGCAGTGAGGGGAGCCACCTGGGGAAATACATTTAACAGGATAAAGGACCATGTAACTGAGCCAACGTAAGCAAAAACGAAACTTAATTAAAAAAAAACACATAAAGCTGAATTACGCTCAGTAAATTTACAGTGACAGAAAATAAAGACTAAAAGCTTCTGCAAGAAATGTCAAGTGTTTCCTTCAAATAGACACAAAGAAAAATAAATGTTTTCTCATTTATTTCATCTCTTAAGATTTTTGACAAAATTTGCCAACAATTCCTTTGTCTCATGCAATCGATTGCAGAGAGTTAACGGCACATATTTCTCCATCTGTTTTAGTTTCCCCTAGAGGTGTCACAGTTCTCAGAAAAAGGGACCCAAGAGCAAGACTCAGGAGGCAGATGTAAAAGTGCAGAGAGATACAAAAAATGAAAGCAGGCAAACAAAGCACAAAGGGTCGAGTTGAAGTTTTGAATCCAAAAGGAATAAAAAACAAAAAAACAAAACACAAACACACACAAGGTCAAAAACATGATCAGGATCAAAACAAGAAGGTTAAAGAACAGAGCGCTAACGCACAGTGTACATGCAAACAGACACAGTGTGTGTGTATAAATATATATATACAGGGGAGCTATTGAGGGGATGGGGGGGGGGTGAACAGGTGAGTGGGCAGGAGGAGGAGCAGCAGGTCAGGTGATACTACTGGCGGGAAAGCCGAGGCAAGTGGGAGCGGCAGGGTCTGAAATGACAGCGCAGTTAGAACATGTGTGCACAGACAACTGCACTGACAACTGATTACTTCTCCAGTGCAGTAAACTAGTGCGAAAAAGTGTAAAAACGACTTGAGGACAAGAAGAAGAAGAAAAGAGGAAAAGAAAAAGGCATGTTTGGATGAAAGTCAGAGCATAAGTACAGTCTTCCCAGGAGCTGCTTGTGTCAGCTCAGACCGCACCGAGGTAATCATTACCTGAATCGATTTCCAGTGGAAAGATCGTTTTAAAAAAAATAAATAAATAAAAGAAAATAAAAAAGAAAAACTTCTGTAATGTCAACAGGTTAATAATAACTCACAATTTGTACTCGCTGACATGAGGTGAAAAGTCTGCTGATAGGAGATGAAATGGAAAAAAAAATAAGAAAAAATAGCATTGAAAACTCTAGGAAGAACCACACACTCCACCTTGAGAAAGGCAACTGAGCGGAAGATGTGGGCAGTGTATTTTTAGCAACAGTGGCAGCAAGTGCACAAACTTTTTTCTTTTTTTCTTCTTCTTCTTCTTCTTCTTCTTCTTCTCTCTTTTTTTTTTTTTTTTTTTCCTCTTTCCAAGCGGGGCTGTCTTGACGCACGACATGAACCTGTACTGTTACACACATCAGTGTTGATTCATAGCCGCTTTGGTCTGGCGTAAAAGGCAAGACAAGCGCTTCTGTCGAGACGGGCGACGGTTAGGGAAGAGACAGCACTGAGGCAAAGCTTCTTTGATAGTTTTTGTTGTCTTTTTTTTTTTCTCTCTTTTTCATTTTTTTTTTTTCTCTCCTCCACCTCCGCCTCCACCGTTTGACTTTCAAGGCTTTTCTCGGTCTGACGCTGCGTCTCGATTTTTATCGTGCCTCTCTGTAATGATGACACTTCACCGAGTCCCAAAACCCTCAACTTCAGCTCCCCCCCACCCCCCCTAAACCCCCCACCCCCTCCTCCTCCTCCTCCTCCTCCTCCACCGCCGCCATCATCCTTCAGCTCGCTTCAGACAAGACAGAATATTGGGGAGATGAAGCGAGAGAGTGGAGAGGCTTTTTGGTATGCGCAGCGTGTCGTGGATGTGGAGCGTTTCAGACGCCGCCGCCGCCGCTGCTGCTGCTGCTGCTGCCTCCTTCCTCCCTCCCTCCCTCCCTCCCCTCTGCTTTCCACTCTGTCTCTCACTCTCTGTCTGTCTGTCTCTCTGTCTGTCTGTCTGTCTGTTTGTCTGTCTCTCTCTCTCTCTCTCTCTCTCTGTGCTTGTTGTACGGAGGACTTGGCGGCTCGCCAGTCTGGGCTGCCTGCCACCACTGAGGGTACAGTATGTACAGTCTACCTTGTGCCAGCTATTTATTTTTTTTCCTCTCGTCTCGTTCTGTCTCAGTCCTCTCTCCACATTGTGTTTTTTTTTTTTTTTTTTTTAATCTCCGCCTGACGTTTCGTGTTTGA